AAGTATTAGTGCACTGAACAAACACTATATAGATATATATATATATATATATATATATATATATATATATATATATATATATATATATATATATGTCGTACCTAGTAGCCAGAACGCACTTCTCAGTCTACTATGCAAGGCCCGATTTGCCTAATAAGCCAAGTTTTCCTGAATTAATATATTTTCTCTAATTTTTTCCTATGAAATGATAAAGCTACCCATTTCATTATGTATGAAGTAAATTTCTTTAACTGGAGTTAAAATTAACGTAGATATATGACCGAACCTAACCAACCCTACCTAACCTAACCTAACCTATATTTATAGGTTAGGTTAGGTTAGGTAGCCGAAAAATGTTAGGTTAGGTTAGGTTAGGTAGGTTAGGTCGTCGAAAAAACATTAATTCATGAAAACTTGGCTTATTAGGCAAATCGGGCCTTGCATAGTAGGCTGAGAAGTGCATTCTGGCTACTAGGTACGACATATATATATATATATATATATATATATATATATATATATATATATATATATATATATATATATATATATATATATATACATTTTAAATTTAGAGTTTTCGCAAATATAAATTACTATTAACAGGAAATAGAATTTAAAGTATAATTAGGGGTTGGTTAAGTGAGAGGTGATTAAGTTGAGTTCAGAGGTGCGATTCGAAATAAGAATATCAGGGAAGCAATTATTGGGCAGCGCCACTCATCCTGTGAGTGGACACACCGCCATAGTGACAGTATTGGGCAGCGCCACTCATCCTGTGAGTGGACACACCGCCATAGTGACAGTATTGGGCAGCGCCACTCATCCTGTGAGTGGACACACCGCCATAGTGACAGTATTGGGCAGCGCCACTCATCCTGTGAGTGGACACACCGCCATAGTGACAGTATTGGGCAGCGCCACTCATCCTGTGAGTGGACACACCGCCATAGTGACAGTATTGGGCAGCGCCACTCATCCTGTGAGTGGACACACCGCCATAGTGACAGTATTGGGCAGCGCCACTCATCCTGTGAGTGGACACACCGCCATAGTGACAGTATTGGGCAGCGCCACTCATCCTGTGAGTGGACACACCGCCATAGTGACAGTATTGGGCAGCGCCACTCATCCTGTGAGTGGACACACCGCCATAGTGACAGTATTGGGCAGCGCCACTCATCCTGTGAGTGGACACACCGCCATAGTGACAGTATTGGGCAGCGCCACTCATCCTGTGAGTGGACACACCGCCATAGTGACAGTATTGGGCAGCGCCACTCATCCTGTGAGTGGACACACCGCCATAGTGACAGTATTGGGCAGCGCCACTCATCCTGTGAGTGGACACACCGCCATAGTGACAGTATTGGGCAGCGCCACTCATCCTGTGAGTGGACACACCGCCATAGTGACAGTATTGGGCAGCGCCACTCATCCTGTGAGTGGACACACCGCCATAGTGACAGTATTGGGCAGCGCCACTCATCCTGTGAGTGGACACACCGCCATAGTGACAGTATTGGGCAGCGCCACTCATCCTGTGAGTGGACACACCGCCATAGTGACAGTATTGGGCAGCGCCACTCATCCTGTGAGTGGACACACCGCCATAGTGACAGTATTGGGCAGCGCCACTCATCCTGTGAGTGGACACACCGCCATAGTGACAGTATTGGGCAGCGCCACTCATCCTGTGAGTGGACACACCGCCATAGTGACAGTATTGGGCAGCGCCACTCATCCTGTGAGTGGACACACCGCCATAGTGACAGTATTGGGCAGCGCCACTCATCCTGTGAGTGGACACACCGCCATAGTGACAGTATTGGGCAGCGCCACTCATCCTGTGAGTGGACACACCGCCATAGTGACAGTATTGGGCAGCGCCACTCATCCTGTGAGTGGACACACCGCCATAGTGACAGTATTGGGCAGCGCCACTCATCCTGTGAGTGGACACACCGCCATAGTGACAGTATTGGGCAGCGCCACTCATCCTGTGAGTGGACACACCGCCATAGTGACAGTATTGGGCAGCGCCACTCATCCTGTGAGTGGACACACCGCCATAGTGACAGTATTGGGCAGCGCCACTCATCCTGTGAGTGGACACACCGCCATAGTGACAGTATTGGGCAGCGCCACTCATCCTGTGAGTGGACACACCGCCATAGTGACAGTATTGGGCAGCGCCACTCATCCTGTGAGTGGACACACCGCCATAGTGACAGTATTGGGCAGCGCCACTCATCCTGTGAGTGGACACACCGCCATAGTGACAGTATTGGGCAGCGCCACTCATCCTGTGAGTGGACACACCGCCATAGTGACAGTATTGGGCAGCGCCACTCATCCTGTGAGTGGACACACCGCCATAGTGACAGTATTGGGCAGCGCCACTCATCCTGTGAGTGGACACACCGCCATAGTGACAGTATTGGGCAGCGCCACTCATCCTGTGAGTGGACACACCGCCATAGTGACAGTATTGGGCAGCGCCACTCATCCTGTGAGTGGACACACCGCCATAGTGACAGTATTGGGCAGCGCCACTCATCCTGTGAGTGGACACACCGCCATAGTGACAGTATTGGGCAGCGCCACTCATCCTGTGAGTGGACACACCGCCATAGTGACAGTATTGGGCAGCGCCACTCATCCTGTGAGTGGACACACCGCCATAGCAGCATGTACAACACTCCCCAATAGGAAGAAAACCCGCTGGGTTGTTCATCCTGTCACTTGTACCCAGACACAGCTGGGACTTGCTTAACTGTCTCAAGTGAACAGCTCCTCAAACAAGAAGATTAACATCTGTCAACCCTTAAAATCTTACGTTATCTTGCGGGTGCAAAATGGGGGAATCTTTTAAGAACAGTATCAATATTTGACAAATAGTGTTTTCCTAACTCAAACAATGTGGGGTTTATTATTCTACACATATCTCTAATGTCTCTCAGGTGTTCACATTCACGTAGATAGTGGTCAAGGCGGTGTCCATCACTCTCACCACAGATTCTGCAACTCCGCTGCTCAACTGTTGTTTCCATTCCGAATCTCCATGGATATTTGTATCCAAGACGGATTCTCGCTATTACTGATTCTCTCCCGCGGCCACCTCCTCTTCGTCCATAATGATTGGGATTGCCAGCTGCAACCATGTTGTACCATCGTACAGATTCACTGGTTTGTGCTTCTATCCTCCTTTCCTCAGTTACCTTGTCACGGTGATGTTGCCTGACAATACCTCTAATTTGTAGCAGAGTCTTGGGTATGAAGTATTCAATATGGTCTCCTTCAGCGCCTTCAGCAGCCAGCACATCTGCTCGTTCATTCCCACATATTCCAACATGGGAGGGGATCCACAGAAACTTGACGACTCTTCCCTGATTGGTTAGTACTCTCACAGCTCTCTTAATTTCAGCGACTATCGCAAGATTTTCTGCCCGATTTTTACTTAGGCTTTGCAGTGCTGCTTTTGAATCAGTGCAGATCACTGCACCATTAGTGTTTCGTTCAAGGAATCTTAACGCCATAACAATGGCAGTTAGCTCTGCTTGCGTTGAAGAGGCATAGTTCTCAATACGTGCTTTTTCTTCATTTCTGCGTTGAAAGGCATTATTCCTAATTACAGTGTATGCTGCACCAGCCCTGCCATTGACAGGATTAGATGACCCGTCAGTGTAGATTTGATCTAGTTCATCTCCGGCTTCTTTATAAATTTCCTCGAGATACTTGTGCCTCATTTCTTGTGGTATCATGTTGGATTTTTTCGTTGCCATTTCATTGATGATAATCCTGCATGAGTCATCCTCCCAGGGAGGTAACCTCTCTACAGGCAGGAGCTCACGGGCTTGCTCAAGCAGGTGAAGTTCTTCGAGGTAGCAGACTGATCTGTGATGCCATTTTTTGCTTCTCCTGTTTCCTCCTGTAAGTAGCACAGAACTCAGTTTTTTCTTGGCAATATCATTGTAATGGGGATCTCTGGCTATCCTAATTGCAAGCTTAGCATTCAGTTCCTTAATTCTGCTTTTAACACTGGGAAGGGACAACTCCTCTCGTAGATTAGACGTTTTTGGCAGTTCTTGGAACTCCAGAATGATTTTCATGGCTTCATTTTGAATGCTTTCGAGCCTTCTCATATCGCTTTGGGAGTAGGTGCACAGAACTGGTGCGGCACAGTCTATGACGGAGCGCACATAGGCTGTGTACATCATTTTAAGCACGACAATAGAGGCTCCATGTCCATTCCAGGTCATAGCTTTCAGTGCCCTGAGTCGACTTTTGCATGTTCCTATGAGTTGGTCGAGCTCCTCTTTCTTCCCCTTGTTAGAGCCGACAGTGACGCCAAGGTACCGATAGTGGTCAACCCATTCAAGTGTTACACCATTAATTTGCAGTTCTTCATTTGCTCCCCGCTTGTGATGGGAGTATGCCTTCGTCTTGTTTGTGGAGAGTGTGAAACGGAGCTCAACACATTTCCCTCCGAGGAGTTCAATGGAATGTTCAATTTTTCCCAAGGTGGGAGCTTGTATTAGGACATCATCTGCATATCCCACTTGTTGTGCTCCTTCAGGGAAATCAATATTTGCTATGGCGTTCATAAGTACATTGAATAGTGTGGGGCTTAAGACTCCGCCTTGGGGGGTACCGAGCATATCTTCGTTAACCATTGTTGGACTCGTAACTCTGTCAAACACCTAACCTAACCCAACCTACGACTAACTATACATAGAACAATAATATATAATAATATTAACCTACTTATGACAAACCTATTTTTAATACGCAATATGTTAGAATTTATGGATGTATCGTGGGGGAGTGGGGGAGGGGGGAAAGGCCGCCGCTTTAACGAGCCTGGCCTCAAGACAGGCTGGAGTCGTGTGTAAAGAGTGTTTTCATAAACAGATTTGGTGGTTGGATTAATGAGCATTTGGCCTTTGTTGAGGAGGACGGGCGGACGTGGTTGAGCACTGACAGGTGGGGGTTCGAGTATGGTAGTGAGCCAAGCTCCACTTGAGAAAAGTTCCAACACAATTAGTCGTGAGTCACTTGCAATGTTTAAGGTATAAACAGGAAGGGAAGGTGTATATTAAGGAACATTTGGGCAATGTTTATGAGGAGGAGATGTAACATTAATCAGTGATCACAAGCCGTCAACACCACCATTGCCACAAGGATGATCTCACCGCCTTAACCCTCCCTAATCTGGCCTTTATGTCAACAATATTTACGCTCCCTTCACCTACTCAACTTTAATGAGAACTTTGCCTTTACATATTTAGAACTTGTCCATAAAAACCCAGAACTTAGTCCATACACTCAGAACTTGTCACTTCACACTCAGAACTTGTCACTTCACACTCAGAACTTGTCACTTCACACTCAGAACTTGTCACTTCACACTCAGAACTTGTCACTTCACACTCAGAACTTGTCACTACACACTCAGAACTTGTCACTTCACACTCAGAACTTGTCACTTCACACTCAGAACTTGTCACTTCACACTCAGAACTTGTCACTTCACACTCAGAACTTGTCACTTCACACTCAGAACTTGTCACTTCACACTCAGAACTTGTCACTACACACTCAGAATTCTCCGTCACAAGACAAGTCCAACTCTCCCCGTCACAGGACAAGTCCAACTCTCCCCGTCACAGGACAAGTCCAACTCTCCCCGTCACAGGACAAGTCCAACTCTCCCCGTCACAGGACAAGCCCAACTCTCCCCGTCACAAGACAAGTCCATCTCTCCCTGTCACAGAGTTAGTCGATCTCTCCCCGTCACAGGACAAGTCCAAATCTCCCCGTCAAAACACAAGTCCAACTCTCCCCGACACAAGACAAGTCCAACTATCCCCGTCACAGGACAAGTCCAACTCTCCCCGTCACGAGACAAGTTCAACCCTCTCCGTCACAGGACAAGTCCAACTCTCCGTCACAGAGCAAGATCAACTCTCCGTCACAGCGCAAGACCAACTCTCCGTCACAGCGCAAGACCAGCTCTCCGTCACAGAGCAAGACCAACTCTCCGTCACAGACCAAGTCCAACTCTCCGTCATAGAGCAAGTCCAACTCTCCGTCACAGAGCAAGTCCAACCCTCCCCGTCACAAGACAAGTCCAACTCTCCCCGTCACAAGACAAGTCTAACTATCCCCGTCACAGGAAAAGTACAACTCTCCCCGTCACGAGACAAGTCCAACCCTCCCCGTCACAGGACAAGTCCAACTCTCCATCACAGCGCAAGACCAACTCTCCGTCACAGCGCAAGACCAGCTCTCCGTCACAGAGCAAGACCAACTCTCCGTCACAGAGCAAGACCAACTCTCCGTCACAGAGCAAGACCAACTCTCCGTCACATAGCAAGACCAACTCTCCGTCACAGAGCAAGTCCAACTCTCCGTCACAGAGCAAGTCCAACTCTCCGTCACAGAGCAAGACCAACTCTTCGTCACAGAGCAAGACCAATTCTCCGTCACAGAGCAAGTCCAACTCTCCATCACAGAGCAAGTCCAACTCTCCGTTACAAGACAAGACCAACTCTCCATCACAGGACAAGACCAACTCTCCCCGTCATAGAGCAAGTCCAACTCTCCGTTACAGAGCAAGACCAACTCTACGTCACAGAGCAAGACCAACTCCGTTACAGAGCAAGACTAACTCTCCGTCACAGAGCAAGTCCAACTCTCCGTCACAGAGCAAGTCCAACTCTCCGTCACAGGACAAGACCAACTCTCCATCACAGGACAAGACCAACTCTCCCCGTCATAGAGCAAGTCCAACTCTCCGTTACAGAGCAAGAACAACTCTCCGTTACAGAGCAAGACTAACTCTCCGTTACAGAGCAAGACCAACTCTACGTCACAGAGCAAGACCAACTCTCCCCGTCACAGAGCAAGACCAACTCTCCGTCACAGAGCAAGACCAACTCTCCGTCACAGAGCAAGACCAACTCTCCGTTACCGAGCAAGACTAACTCTCCGTCACAGAGCAAGACCAACTCTCCGTCACAGAGCAAGACCAACTCTCCGTCACAGAGCAAGACCAATTCTCCGTCACAGAGCAAGACCAACCCTCCGTCACATAGCAAGGCCAACCCCCCGTCACAGAGCAAGTCCAACTCTCCGTCACAGAGCAAGACCAACTCTCTCCGTCACAGCGCAAGACCAACTTTTCGTCACCGAGCAAGACCAACTCTCCGTCACAGAGCAAGACCAACTCTCCGTCACAGAGCAAGACCAACTCTCTTCGTCACAGAGCAAGACCAACTCTCCGTCACCGAGCAAGACCAACTCTCCGTCACAGAGCAAGACCAACTCTCTCCGTCACAGAGCAAGACCAACTTCGCGTCACAGAGCAAGACCAACTCCCCGTCACAGAGCAAGACCAACTCTCCGTCACAGAGCAAGACCAATTCTCCGTCACAGAGCAAGACCAACCCTCCGTCACATAGCAAGGCCAACCCCCCGTCACAGAGCAAGTCCAACTCTCCGTCACAGAGCAAGACCAACTCTCTCCGTCACAGCGCAAGACCAACTTTTCGTCACCGAGCAAGACCAACTCTCCGTCACAGAGCAAGACCAACTCTCCGTCACAGAGCAAGACCAACTCTCTTCGTCACAGAGCAAGACCAACTCTCCGTCACCGAGCAAGACCAACTCTCCGTCACAGAGCAAGACCAACTCTCTCCGTCACAGAGCAAGACCAACTTCGCGTCACAGAGCAAGACCAACTCCCCGTCACAGAGCAAGACCAACTCTCCGTCACAGAGCAAGACCAACTCTCCCCGTCACAGAGCAAGACCATCTCTCCCCGTCAAAGAGCAAGACCAACTCTCCGTCACAGAGCAAGACCAACTCTCCCCGTCAAAGAGCAAGACCAACTCTCCGTCACAGAGCAAGACCAAGTCCGTCACAGAGCAAGACCAACTCTCCGTCACCGAGCAAGGCTAACTCTCCGTCACAGAGCAAGTCCAACCCTCCGTCACATAGCAAGGCCAACCCCCCGTCACAGAGCAAGTCCAACTCTCCGTCACAGAGCAAGACCAACTCTCCGTCACAGAGCAAGACCAACTTTCCGTCATAGAGCAAGACCAACTCTCCCCGTCACAGAGCAAGACCAACTCTCCGTCACAGAGCAAGACCAACTCCGCGTCACAGAGCAAGACCAACTCCCCGTCACAGAGCAGGACCAACTCTCCGTCACAGAGGAAGACCAACTCTCCGTCACAGTGCAAGACCAACTCCGTCACAGAGCAAGACCAACTCTCCGTCAAAGAGCAAGACCAACTCTCCGTCACAGAGCAAGACCAACTCTCTCCGTCACAGAGCAAGACCAACTCCGCGTCACAGAGCAAGACCAACTCCCCGTCACAGAGCAGGAACAACTCTCCGTCACAGAGGAAGACCAACTCTCCGTCACAGTGCAAGACCAACTCCGTCACAGAGCAAGACCAACTCACCGTCAAAGAGCAAGACCAACTCTCCGTCACAGAGCAAGACCAACTCTCCGTCACAGAGCAAGACCAACTCTCCGTCACAGAGCAAGTACAACTCTCCGTCACAGAGCAAGTCCAACTCTCCGTCACAGAGCAAGTCCAACTCTCCGTCACAAGACAAGACCAACTCTCCGTCACAAGACAAGATCAACTCTCCGTCACAGGACAAGACCTACTCTCCATCACAGGACAAGACCAACTCCCCGTCACAGAGCAAGACCAACTCTCCCCGTCATAGAGCAAGTCCAACTCTCCCCGTCACAGAGTAAGAACAACTCTCCGTTACAGAGCAAGACCAACTCTCCCCGTCACAGAGCAAGACCAACTCTCCGCCACAGAGCAAGACCAACTCTCCGTCACCGAGCAAGACCAACTCTCCGTCACAGAGCAAGTCCAACTCTCCGTCACAGAGCAAGACCAACTCTCCCCGTCACAGAGCAAGACGAACTCTCCGTCACAGAGCAAGACCAACTCTCTCCGTCACAGAGCAAGACCAACTCTCCGTCACAGAGCAAGTCCAGCTCTCCGTCACAGAGCAAGTCCAGCTCTCCGTCACAGAGCAAGACCAACTCTCCGTCCCAGAGCAAGTCCAACTCTCCGTCACAGAGCAAGTCCAACTCTCCGTCACAGAGCAAGACCAACTCTCCCCGTCACAGAGCAAGACCAACTCTCCGTCACAGAGCAAGACCAACTCTCTCCGTCACAGAGCAAGACCAACTCTCCGTCATAGAGCAAGTCCAGCTCTCCGTCACAGAGCAAGTCCAGCTCTCCGTCACAGAGCAAGACCAACTCTCCGTCCCAGAGCAAGTCCAACTCTCCGTCACAGAGCAAGTCCAACTCTCCGTCACAGAGCAAGACCAACTCTCCCCGTCACTGAGCAAGACCAACTCTCCGTCACAGAGCAAGACCAACTCTCTCCGTGACAGAGCAAGACCAACTATCCGTCACAGAGCAAGTCCAGCTCTCCGTCACAGAGCAAGTCCAGCTCTCCGTCACAGAGCAAGACCAACTCTCCGTCCCAGAGCAAGTCCAACTCTCCGTCACAGAGCAAGTCCAACTCTCCGTCACAGAGCAAGACCAACTCTCCGTCACAGAGCAAGACAAAACACTATTCACACAAAAACCATTACTAACAACACTGGATCAATAGTTAAGACTGTTTAAGTTTTCAGGAAGGCGGCGGGGGTGCGCCCCCCCCCCCTCCAGCGCACCCTCGTCCCCCCACACAGTAACTGATAGTGAAGTTCTCACCATGTGTGCAGTGAGGCAACATGTATATTGGTGAATGTTGCCACAATGTGCCAAGATGCACCACACAGAAGGCAGGCTCTCCAGCGTGTCCCGCCACTCCCACCAACACACTTGTCTCTCACACTAACTGTAAGTGACATGAAAGTCTCCAGTTTATCCTCAGCGTCTGCTCGTCCAACCTCCGCTGACCTTAAGACGCAATGATCAATTTTAACATAATTTTGGCTTAGGCGTAGAATAGGTTAGCATAGGTTACGTTATTTGCTACTGTTCCCAATGAATGTTTCCAGATGGCGAGTGACTGTAGCACTGAGGGTCCGTGGGTGGAGGTGCGTGTGTCTGCAGCTGATATGGTCACCGCTGAGAGAAGTACCCTTCTTGGGGAGCACCCTCGGCTCTGAGGCGACCACTCTCCTGTCGTGTCGCTGCGGGGTGGGTCAAGGCCTCAGCTGTTCTATCAACAATTAGGATGTGCCAGTTGGACTGCATTTATTGTGTCAAGTGTGTCGTGGTTGTTGGACTGAAGGAGCATCCCACTAACTGGAGCGTCCACCAATGGATAATTGTGTATCATCAAAGAATCAACAGTGTTATAGAAGAATATATTTTACAGGGATATTAGAGGCAGATAAAAAGGAAAGGGAGGCTAGAAAATTAATCAAGGCGGCTGTGCGGGCACCAAGGCCAGATATTATGGGAGTGTTGGTCATTTATAAACAATTATCAGGAGGAATATTAAGGAATTATTCCAGCAAGGACTTTGTAGTGTCATAGAGTAAGGCGCTGCTGTAGCACGGAGATCACCGCAGAAAGCATCTTAACTTAGGAAGGAGACATCCTGTGAGAAGGTACAAGTTATCGTCATCATCGACTTATGATCAAAATCATCGTTAATGATTTCAGTAATCTACGGTAGATCGGTGAGTTATGTATTCACGGTGGCACCCAGGAGGATGTAACTCTACAGCACCAACACCCTCAGTATCCCTACCAACACCCTCCCAACCCCACCAACACCCTCCCCAAACCACCAACACCTTCCCAACCCCACCAACACCCTCCCCAAACCACCAACACCCCACCAAGCCCCACCAACACCCTCCCCAAACCACCAACACCATCCCAACCCCACGAACACCTTCCCCACACCAACAACACCTTCCCAACCCCACCAACACCCTCCCCACACCACCAACACCCTCCCCACACGACCAACACCCTCCCCACACCACCAACACCCTCCCCACACCACCAACACCCACCCCACCCTACCAACACCCTCCCCCACCACCAACACCTTCCCAACCCCACCAACACCCTCCCCACACCACCAACACCTTCCCAACCCCACCAACACCCTCCCCACACCACCAACACCTTCCCAACCCCACCAACACCCTCCCCACACCACCAACACCCTCCCCACACCACCAACACCCACCCCACCCTACCAACACCCTCCCCCACCACCACAACACCTTCCCAACCCCACCAACACCCTCCCCACATCACCAACACCTTCCCAACCCCACCAACACCCTCCCCACACCACCAACACCTTCCCAACCCCACCAACACCCTCCCCACACCACCAACACCCTCCCCACACCACCAACACCCTCCCCACACCACCAACACCCTCCCCCCACCACCAACACCCTCCCCACACCACCAACACCCTCCCCACACCACCAACACCCTCCCCACACCACCAACACCCCAGCAAGCCCCAACCAACACCCTCCCCACACCACCAACACCTTCCCAACCCCACCAACACCCTCCCCACACCACCAACACCCTCCCTACACCACCAACACCCTCCCCACACCACCAACACCTTCCCAACCCCACCAACACCCTCCCCACACCACCAACACCTTCCCAACCCCACCAACACCCTCCCCACACCACCAACACTTTCCCAACCCCACCAACACCCTCCCCACACCACCAACACCCTCCCCACACCACCAACATCCTCCCCACACCACCAACACCCTCCCCACACCACCAACACCCTCCCCCCACCACCAACACCCTCCCCACACCACCAACACCCTCCCCACACCACCAACACCCTCCCCACACCACCAACACCCCAGCAAGCCCCAACCAACACCCTCCCCACACCATCAACACCCCACCAAGCCCCACCAACACCCTCCCCACACCACCAACACCCCAGCAAGCCCCAACCAACACCCTCCCCACACCACCAACACCCCAGCAAGCCCCAACCAACACCCTCCCCACACCATCAACACCCCACCAAGCCCCACCAACACCCTCCCCACACCACCAAGCCCCAACCAACACCCTCCCCACACCACCAACACCCTCCCCACACCATCAACACCCCACCAAGCCCCACCAACACCCTCCCCACACCACCAAGCCCCAACCAACACCCTCCCCTCATCAAGGCAACACACAAGAAGGTAGAAAGTTTACACCAAGCCACAACAATTGGAGGAAGAGAGGCGGGGAGGACGGACAAAACACGCGACACACCGCCACAACAACAGTCTCATGGACCATTATTCCCACAGCCAGAATACGACAAATTAACTTGCTGGAGGTCTCGCTAAACGCCTGCACCGCTGCTCCTTCCTCCACCACTCGGCACACCGGCCCCCATCTCTCCCTACCTGCTGGGGGGCCTCCAAGGCCGGGCCTCAGCTCCTCAACCCCGCCTTACAAGCTCTTGGCTGTATAATGCAGTTATTTTTATAGGAATTTTGATTAAGAAACATGTGATGCCGAATACATACTTCAATCCTTTCCAGTTATGATAACTTTGACATTATTTTCTTTTGCATTTTTGTCACCTTAGATTTTTATTGTCCCTTTCGTTCTCTCTACTTCCCCATGATTCTCTCTACTTCCCCATGATTCTCTCTACTTCCCCATGATTCTCTCTCTACTTCCCCATGATTCTTTTTATTTCCCCATGATTCTTTCTACTTCCCCATGATTCTTTCTACTTCCCCATGATTCTTTCTACTTCCCCATGATTCTCTCTACTTCCCCATGATTCTTTCTACTTCCCCATGATTCTCTCTACTTCCCCATGATTCTTTCTACTTCCCCATGATTCTCTCTCTACTTCCCCATGATTCTCTCTACTTCCCCATGATTCTCTCTCTACTTCCCCATGATTCTTTTTATTTCCCCATGAGTCTCTCTACTTCCTTATGATTCTCTATACTTCCCCATGATTCTCTCTACTTCCCCATGATTCTTTCTACTTCCCCATGATTCTTTCTACTTCCCCATGATTCTCTATACTTCCCCATGATTCTCTCTACTTCCCCATGATTCTTTCTACTTCCCCATGATTCTTTCTACTTCCCCATGATTCTCTCTCTACTTCCCCATGATTCTTTCTACTTCCCCATGATTCTTTCTACTTCCCCATGATTCTCTCTCTACTTCCCCATGATTCTTTTTATTTCCCCATGAGTCTCTCTACTTCCTTATGATTCTCTATACTTCCCCATGATTCTCTCTACTTCCCCATGATTCTTTCTACTTCCCCATGATTCTTTCTACTTCCCCATGATTCTCTATACTTCCCCATGATTCTCTCTACTTCCCCATGATTCTTTCTACTTCCCCATGATTCTTTCTACTTCCCCATGATTCTCTCTCTACTTCCCCATGATTCTTTTTATTTCCCCATGAGTCTCTCTACTTCCTTATGATTCTCTATACTTCCCCATGATTCTCTCTACTTCCCCATGATTCTACTTCCCCATGATTCTACTTCCCCATGATTCTCTCTACTTCCCCATGATTCTACTTCCCCATGATTCTACTTCCCCATGATTCTCTCTACTTCCCCATGATTCTCTCTACTTCCACATGATTCTCTCTACTTCCCCATGATTCTCTCTACTTCCCCATGATTCTCTCTACTTCCTCATGATTTTCCCTATTTCCCCATGATTCTCTCTGCTTCCTTATGATTTTCCCTATTTCCCCATGATTCTCTCAACTTCCCCATGATTCTCTCAACTTCCCAATGATTCTCTCTACTTCCCCATGATTCTACTTCCCCATGATTCTCTCTACTTCCCCATGATTCTCTCTACTTCCCCATGATTCTCTCAACTTCCCCCATGATTCTATCTCTACTTCCCCATGATTCTCTCTACTTCCCCATGATTCTCTCTACTTCCCCATGATTCTCTCAACTTCCCCATGATTCTCTCTCTCTACTTTCCCATGATTCTCTCTTCTTCCCCATGATTCTCTCTACTTCCCCATGATTCTCTCAACTTCCCCATGATTCTCTCAACTTCCCCATGATTCTCTCAACTTCCCCATGATTCTCTCTACTTCCCCATGATTCTACTTCCCCATGATTCTCTCAACTTTCCATGATTCTCTCAACTTCCCCATGATTCTCTCAACTTCCCCATGATTCTCTCTACTTCCCCATGATTCTACTTCCCCATGATTCTCTCAACTTCCCATGACTCTCTCTACTTCCCCATGATTCTCTCTACTTCCCCATGATTCTCTCTACTTCCCCATGATTCTCTCTACTTCCCCATGATTCTCTCAACTTCCCCATGATTCTCTCTACTTCCCCATGATTCTCTCAACTTCCCCATGATTCTCTCAACTTCCCCATGATTCTCTCAACTTCCCCATGATTCTCTCAAATTCCCCATGATTCTCTCTACTTTCCCCATGACTCTCTCTACTTCCCCCATGATTCTCTCTACTTCCCCATGATTCTCTCTACTTCCCCATGATTCTTTCACCTTCCCCATGATTCTCTCTACTTCCCCATGATTCTACTTCCCAATGATTCTCTCTACTTCCCCATGATTCTCTCTACTTCCCCATGATTCTCTCTACTTCCCCATGATTCTTTCACCTTCCCCATGATTCTCTCTACT